GGGACTGGTGGGGCTGGACGAGGAATGGCCACCCTCTTCTCCCATAGAGGTTTCTAGGGCTCCCTAGACTCCCCCAGACATGAGGAAGGGTGAGCTGGAGTCGGTGACAGTGTCGCTGGGTGTAGGAGGGGGAGTGAAGGGGGAGCAGGCCCTCAGCCTTCCCACTCGAGGCTCAGCTGAGGGACCCAGACCCTGCTGGGGCCTTTCCCAGCTGTCAGCACTGGGCACAGGCTCCTCCTCGGAGCCACACCCCTCAGTCCCCTACAGAGACCCCGCCCCTCTCATAATCCTCAGGCACGGGGGAGGGGCCCCAAAGCCCAGGGCAAAGCCAGCAACAGTAGCAGCCTCCTCCCGGTTTCTGGGGAGAAGGGCATCTTGCCTACCCGCCCCCACCATGTCCATCTAAAACCATAGGCCCGCTAGGCCTGGCCAGCTTCTATGAGACCCAGCCTTGTGGCCTCCCATCTCTCTCTCCCCTTCTCTGGCCCCTGGGGAGTCACTGCAGGGCCCATGGGAGCTTCCAGCCTGGGACCAGCGGGGGAAAGCCTGCAGCCAATGGGAGCTGCAGGGGTTTGGCAGGAGCGAGGAGCCCTGGCCTCAGGACCAGGATGGTCACCATGTCTTTCTTCCTTGTCCCCTCCCCCCAACCCCAGCCCTGGCCCCTGGAGAACATTCTCCCTGCTGGCAGCCCCTCCTTATCTCCAAGCCTGAGTCTCCATTACAGGAGTTTTGGTGGCGGGAGGAGGCAGAGGACCCCCCCGCCCCCAGAACAGGAGTGTTTCCCACGGCTGGTGGAAGACAGTGGTGCTGGGTTACCGAGTATCAGTGCCCATGGGGGAAGAGGCAGGGTGTGACCCAGGCAGGACAGGACCCCAAGAGGGGGGATGGCTAGATGAGGAGTCTCCTGGAACCTCTGGGACGAGGCCCTGAGACATCCTGCAGCACCAGGTGACCTTGCTCAGGGCTGATGCCACTTCTGGGCCTCAGACTGCAGACACCTCCCCTCCCACAGCACCTGGCTCCCTGGGCCTCCAGGTAACGGCCCCTCTGTCATCCCTCCGTCCTCCTTTGCTCCCTGCTTCTTCTCCCAACAGCTCACTGTTAGGAGGTCATAGACCCCAGCCTCAAGACCCCGACCCTGCTCGTGTGGACACGGAGGATCCCGGCAGAGTCTGGCAGGAGCCTGAGCTGGGGCAGGCCTCCCTCAGGGCCAGGGGAGTCGGGGGGCGGCACCCCTAGGGACAGGCAAACTTCCCCCAGCACCTCCATTCTTGTCACTGTCACTCTCTGGGCCTCTACTGCAGCCTGAGATGTGCCCTAAGCCCCTCAGAGCCTGCAGCAAGATTTCGGAAGCCCTCAGCTCCCAGCTCCAGAACAAAGGCCTCCTCAGCCTCGCCCCCAGGCAGGGGTCGGGGTTGGGGCCCGCCCCTCACTGCTTGCCCTCGGATGGCAGGAGGCCGGCACCTGCTCCTTGGGGCCTGGGCTCCCCCTCTCTGTGCCAGCAGCTTCTCAGCACCTGGGGAGGGGCTGTGGTCCTGGCTGGACCCCAGGCCTGTCCCCCTCAGCCCTCTAGCTGCCCAGTCCAGGGCAGGGACTTGAAACCCCCTTCATTCTGAGTAACCACCTCCATGGCCCCATTTGGGACCACTCTCTCTTGGTCCCCAGGCTCCTCAGGACCCCAGAGTGGGAGGGTCCCCCACCTGGAAGTCCCCTGAGCTCTGGGGCCCAGCCCCACCTGTCAGTGCTGGTGTCAGGGCACTCAACACCGATCGTGGGGGCCACGCCCTCGCTGTGCCCACTGCCTCCTGTAGCCCTCTGCCCCCCCATGCTGCACGGGCCCACCCCGCGGGCTCGGCGAGTGAAGTGTTTGTCCCTGTTCACCACCGTTCTGCGCCCGGCTCTGCGAGGGGCCGGGCTGCCCGCTGCCCACCGTCTGCCGCCCTTGGCTTCTGACTCCATTAGTCCGACACTTGTGAAACTCCGAGAAGTGCTGTGGTCTCAGCAATGCACCTGTTTTGTACATGATTGTGTAATTTAAAGGTATATAAATACAAATATATATATCTATAAGTTGTGACTGTATGACTGTGGATAAAATCCAGAACTGTGTCAACCTGGCTGGACATTGTTATCTCGAGTCCTCTGTCTTTCGAGCCCTGAGAGATCTGTGGTTGGGATGTCTGTCGGGAGGTGGGGCCCAGCATGCTCCATGCTGTCCTGGCTGATCACTGACGGCCGGCAGACTGAGGGCTGGTCCCCTCACCTTTCAGGGCCCCCGGGGCCTGTCTATACAGAGAGGGCTATAATAGGTGCTCTCTGAGGCAACTGGGCCATGGCCTTTAGGGTCCTGGGTGCCTGACTGACCAGGAGAACTCAGATATTTGGGGTCTAAAACTCACAGTTCAAGGATGAATTTGACCCCCAAGTAGGTTTCTTTTCTTTTTTTTTTTTTTGAGGAAGATTAGCTCTGAGCTAACATCTGCCGCCAATTGTCTTCTTTTTGCTGAGCAAGACTGGCCCTGAGCTAACAGTGCCCATCTTCCTCTACTTTATACGTGGGACGCCTACCACATCATGGCTTGCCAAGCGGTGCCATGTCCACACCCGGGATCCGAACTGGTGAACCCCGGGCTGCTGAAGTGGAATGTGCAAATTTAACCACTGCACCACTGGGCCGGCCCCAGGTTTCAATTTTTAAAGCAAAATTCTAAGAGTGATTGCTGAGGCCTGTGGTTCCTGGTAGTCCACAGTCCCAGGCTCCCGATGGTGTGACGTCAGGTGCTGCCACACTTTCTTGTGCCCTGCCTGACCTCTGACAGCACTTCTGTGTGGGACCCCTGGGAGGGCTTCTCCAAAAGCATTTCTCAGGGAAGTGGCCAGGACCCAGGCTCCAGCTTCGCAACTCTGTTCTGCCGGGCCAGGCCCTGCCCGGGCCTCAGCTCCTGCCCCAGCTTCAGCTCCAGGCCCAGCCCCTGCCCCAGCCTCCCCGCCCCCGGCTGGATCTCTTCTGGGACGTGGCAGGTCTCCCAGGTGCAGCCCTAGCTCTGTCCTCGGTTCCCTGTGTCCTCAGCCGACCCCCACGCGGCCTCAGCTTCCCCGGGCCGCTCAGATGTCTCTCCGAGGCCCCAGTGGCTCCGGCAGCCTGGCAGGCCCTGACAGACCCACTCGTCAAGGCATCTCTACTGCAGTCCCCTCGCCCCACGCTTTCCCCAGCCTCAGGGCACCCCAGGGCAGGGAGAAGGGCTCAGGATGGGGTTGAATCTGTTCCCCAGCCCATCTCCTTCATCCGCCAAATCCACGTCCAGTGACAAGCCCCTGGTTTTAGCCGAACAAGGACTCTTCAAATAAAGGTGAAGGTTGCCTCGTCTTGCGCAGGCTGCTCCATGCAGTGATGGGGCGCCCGGGAGGGGGGGTCCCGTGGGGATGGTCAGGGAGTACCTAAGCTAGACTGGGCTCTGATGGGCAGGTGTGCGGAGGAGGAAGAGGAAACCTAAGCTTGCTGCCAGTGCACAAGTTGTCACTGGATGGGTGTGTCCCCGCCAAGGGGTCATGTGCCTCGTGGCAGATCCACACAGCAGGGAGCTGCCCCACCTGACCCCCCACGGCTCCCCTTTCTGGAGCAGCTCCAGCTCCCCACTCCTAGCCCATAATCCCCCTCCCCCTCCTTCCTCTCAGCCCGGCCTGAGATGAGGCCACCCCAGGCCCTGCTGGTGGCACAGGGACGCAGCTGGGGGCAGGGCCGGCAGGCTGGAGACAAAACCAGTTGAGCAGAGCCGAGCTGGTTCTGGCCAGGGTCCCAGGTGCCCCCTCCCCGGGGGTGGGCAGACAGCAGGGGCCCAGAGAGGCACAGGCCTGGGGCAGGGCCGCCCCCTCCTCCCCCGGGTCCAGTCCCAGCTGACAGATGCCAAGGTGCTGTTTGCTCACTGCCAGGAGTAAACTTTCTTCTGGAGACAATAAAATCTCTGAGGGCAGAAGGTGGCAGGCTAGGGCGGCATTTAACCCTCAATGGTCTGGGCGGCCCTGGCTGGCTCCCGTCCTGTCTCCTGAAGTGTGTCATCAGAGGCTAAAGGTTACAGAGGCTAAGGGTGCTGACCAGTCACGAAGCAGGAGGCATGAGGTGCAGAGAGCCCTGTGCTTGTGGGTTCAGTTCCTGGTTCTGCCACTGATTGGCTGATTGGTTGTGGGACTGTGAGCAAGTCTCCCAGCCACTCTGAGCCTCAGCTTCATCGTCTGCAGGATGGGGGAGTAGCCCCTCCCTTGCGGTTTGGTAGGGAAGTTAATGGTAAAAAGCAGTGCAAGTACTAGAGCGTAGTGGGTCCTCAGGGCATGCGAGCTGGATGGACGAGTGTGAGGGAAGCGCCAGGAGGCTGAGTGAGTTGCTTTGCCCAGCAGACTGGGCAGTAGGGGCCCATCTCCCCCGGCTCACCCACACTGTGACCCTTTCCCCATCACCTGCTCACTTATGCCCCTCACACCCCATTCCCAGGGCTCGCAGCCTCACAGGGGCGCTGCTGAGGTCTGGGACCTTGCTCTGTGCAAGGGAACTACAAGCCAAACCACCTCTCTTCGCTGCGGAGCCTGTGTCCCACAAGGGGAACCGGAGCAGTAGTACTCTCTGGCACCCCAGCCGCCCCTTCCCAGAACCCCCTTGGTTGCAAAGCAGAGACAAAGGCTCTCGGACCCTCTACAGCAGAGCAAGAAGATGCAGAGGACGGACGCCGCATTCTCTCCAGTCCTATGGTGGACTGTCTTCAGCCCCAGGGCCCTCCCTCCTTCCGGCCCACACTAGGGTGGGGGGAGATGAGGTCATTCCAGGCCCTCCTTGGCCTTGAGGACTCACTGCCTCTCTCCCACAGCTTCTACCAATCCACTATCCCTTTCCTTTTAGGCTCAGCTCAATGCCATCCCCCTTGACCACCCCAGGCCCCTGTAACCACAACCACTTTGAGCATTGATGGCCTCTGGATTGTCCCGCTCACTCAGTGCACAGACACTGGGGCTGTATCAGTTCTCTGGTACCTTTATTATCCATTCCCAAGGGAACTCCTGGCTCCCCAGTTCAGGGGTGCAGACGTCTCCTAACACCATGCCAGGCACGGTGTAGGATGGGTGACAGAGAGCACTGGACGGACTTTTAGTGGCCTTGGCCAAGTCACTGCCATTTCTGTCGGCTCTGCTCTGGAAATCCTGGGGTCAGAGGCTGGGGTGGAGGGAAGGCCTTCCCTGTCCAGCCCTGGCCCCCTCCATGGGCACATGCGCAGTCAGGCCTGAGGAGGAAGCACCCCCACCTCAGGCCCCAGAGAGGCCCCTGGGAGCAGCGGGCCGTCCCCTCCCTGGCCCCAGACTCTGAATGCCAGCGGACGGCCCTCTCCCTCTGCTCAGGAGCAGGCAGGAGGGAGGTTTTGGGCCTAGGGTCTGGCCCGCAGCCCTCAGATGGGGTGCACAAACTGGTAGACAAGGCGCTGGGAAATGTCGGGCTTCCGGATAATGCCCTTCTTGTAATACTGGCGGATGGAGCGGCTCAGCTTGTCGTAGTTCATGGCTGGACGGTTCTTGCGGATGCCCCAGAGCCGGGCCACCTGGGCCGAGTCTTCAATTTTGAAGATGCCTGGGGGCAGCAGGAGGGCCCGGAGAGAGCCAGCCGTGCAAGTGGGGCCAAAAGGGAGAAAGACCGAGATGGACAGGTTAGTCTCCCACTGGGCCATGGGAGCCAGGGGCAGCCAGGGGCAGGGGTCAGGCTGGGGGGCCACCACATCTCTTCCCAAGGCTGTGGTGAGGGGTAAAGAAATGTGTGCAGAGTGTGCCACAGGCCCAGTAAGTGGTAAATAATACCGCGGAGTCACAACCTCCTGGGTGCACGTGTCCGTTCATGGGTTATTTGTGGCCCTGAGGGCCTGGCCCTTGCCAGCCTCTGCTCCTATTTGGCGTTTGTCCTGCGGGGCTCTGGGCTGTGCCCATGGCTCCTTTGGCACCCCCTCGCCGCCACCGCTGCCTTCCCCTTGCAGTTCCCAAGCTTGCAAAATCTCCTTGTACTCTCAGCCACTTCAGCCCTGCAGCCCTTTCTGGCAGGATTAACTCAGGAGGTGGTGGAAAGACTTGGAGCCAGCAGACCTGGGTTTGAATCCTGGCTCTGCCATTTTCTACCTTTCGAAGCTGCCTAAGGTGCCTTTGTTCTGTCGGTAAGAGGTGGTTAGCGTGACTACCACGTTGTTGAGTGGTTACAGAAAGTGCTTAGAGCACAGCCTGAAGGAAGTGCCCCTTGGGATGAGCTGTTACATTGTTAATGCCCCCAGTTCTCATTAGAAACCCTCCTGGCAAGGCCCAGGAAGCACACCTCCTCCAGGGAGCCTTCCCAGATCACCTCCCTGATCTCCTTTCCTAGAACTCTATCATGGGACTGTCTCCCCAGAGGACCGGCTCCCTCTCGGTCTCAAATACACATGCGGGGTCACCACACCTTGTGCAGGAACTTCTCTTCCAACCCCTCTAGCCTCTTCTCGTCCTCCACACTCAGCCCCAGAGTCACCTCCTCTGTGAAGTCCTCCTGGACTTGGGCATGGCTGCCCCCATAGCCCCGACATACTCTGCTCACCAGCTCATTTCACTGCTGGTTCTCCTACAAGACTGTAGGTCCCTCGAGGACGGTGTGCAGCTGAATCCTGCCCGCACCCTCAGGACACTGTAACTCTCTGGAAAAGTCAGCTGAGCAAGTGTGGAGCCAGAGGAGGTGCTCAAAGAAGGTTTGTTGCATGAATACATCTAGTCCCTTTCACAGATAAGAAGACTGAGGTCCGGGCACCCAGAGCTGCTCCTGGCAGAATGGGGCCCAGAACCCAGGTTTCTTGGCTCTGAGCCTTTTCTGAAACACACACACAACGTCTGGTCCTGTGCTGTTCAACGAGGTGGCCACCAGCCACATCTGGCTCTTGAGCCCTTGAAAGGGGGCAAGTCCGAATGGAGATGTGCTCTAAGTGTAAAATACACACCGGATCTCGAAGACTTAGTAAAAAAAAATCTAACAATTTTTATATTGATTACATGTTGAAATTATAGTAACTTATAATATTAGGTTAAATAAAAGTATCGCTGAAGTTAGATTCACCCGTCTAAAAGATTTTTGTTAATGTGTCTACATATCGCGTATGTGGCTCGTGCTGTATTTCTCACTGGACACTGTCAGCCTCCCCACTGAAGCTATGACGTTCTGAGGGCAAAGGCTGTCTCATTCTCAGCAGGATTTTGAGTTCCTGCTATGTCAAAGGCACTGTGCAGGGCTGGGGACCCTGAACAAGGCAGAGCCTGGCCGGGGGACAGACGTGGCCACAAACCGCACACAGACCCCGGGCGGGTCCAAGGACGGCCGTATCTGGCATTCAGGGCACAGGTGGGGGCAGCTCCACCCCTCTGCCCAACCCCCACCCTCCCGGCGCCCGGCACCCAGTAGGAACCCAGGCAGGACCCCGCTCACCCCAGTGCGCCCTCGCTGCCCCCGTGGCCCCTGCCGGGCGCCCTGCTCACCCTTCTCCTTGTTGAGCCAGCGGATGAAGCGGCCGTAGCTGTGCGGCTTGAGCAGCAGTTCTCTGAGGAACTGCCACAGGTGGATGGGCTGCCCGGAGCAGGACGAGTCCACCTCGCTGTCAGTCCAGCTCTCCTCGCCCGCGGACGCTGGGCAGCCAGGGAGGGAGCAGTGCGTGAGGAGCCCCCGGCTCCAGTGGCAGCCGCCCATCAACCCCAGACCCCGGAGCCGGCCCCCCGCCTGTCCTGCCCCAGCTCACCGCAGTAGTGAATGGCCCCCGGGGAGGTCCTCTCTTTCATCCAGGCCGCTGGGGGACAAGGAGAGAAAGTTAGGGACCCACGAGAGACCCTAAGGGTCGAGGAGGGCGTTTCAGTGGGACTGTGGGGCCAGAGAAGGCCCCCTTTGGCTGGAGATTTCCCTCTGGCTTCCTCCCTCTTGCCACTTGGGAAGACAAGTTGTTTACAGAGCTGCTGCCTGGAAGAAAATTTAGGATTTGGGAGCTGGGAGGGACCTTAGAGGCCATGCACGCAGCCCTTGATGTCTAGACAGACGAGTGGAAGTCGAGCCTTGCTCTGCCTCCCTTTTCTCACTTGTGAAATGGGGCCGGGACCCCCTCACAGGTCCTGCAAGGATCCAGGGTGATGAAGTCTTCGCAGCACCCTGGCCAGGGCCGGTGTGAGAAAAACAGCCCTGCCCTCCTCTGCCTGCCGAGGTCACAGCGCCGTCCATGCCTCCCACTCTCCTCCCAGCCCCTCCCCGTCTCTCCACCCGCAGTCCAGGCAGAGGGGGCAAAGGCAGCCAGCGTCTGCCCACATCACCACCCAGCTCTCAGCCCAGCACTGTCCACTGCCCTTGCCAACCACTGGTCTCTGATGGGGCCATACACGTGGGTCCTGTCCCCTTGTTCACCCCGGGCCTGGAAGGGCAGTGGCCTTGACTCACTGGGCAGCACTGTCTCCTCCAGAGCACGTGGCTCTGCGCAGGGCACACTGTGGGCGCTCAGTGAGATGGAGACCATTTAAACACAAAGGGCTTGGCACGCAGCCATTAAAAACGGGGCAGCCGTGTAGATACTGATGGGGAACGAGACCCAAGATACACTGTTAAGTGCAGAACAGTGTGATACTCTGATACTATTCGTGTTAAAAGAAAAAAAAAAGGGTAAAACGCATACATATCTAATTGCTTGCATATGCAGAGACTTTCCCTGGCAAGGCAGCCAAGAAATGGTCATGGAGGCTGCCCCCTGGGGAGGGACTGGAAGGCTGGGGGTCAGGAGCGTGACGGAGAATCACTTCCCAGGGTAGACTGGTTTTCACTGTGTCTTTTTAAATCCTACACATTTATTACCACGTTACTTCTTTAATAAAAAACATACAAACAAAATAAAAAGACAAAGAAGAAGGGCTTTGTGATACCCACAGTCCCCATCAGCTCTGACGTCCCACGTCCTCACGGTTTAACTTCTACCTTGTAACTTCCCCCGTGCTCTGTCCTAAGTGCTGGGGGCTTGACCAGGGCTGGGAGCAGGTCGGGGCTGGTGAGTTCAGCCAGGACACAGGGAGGCAGTTGCCCTTGGGGCTGGGATCCAGAAGGGAGCCCTGACTAGGACCAAGGGGCTGTGTCCCCAGAGGAGAGTAACCTCCCAGCCAGCATCCTGGCCTAACCAGCCCACTCGGGGTTCCCAGCTCGGGGCCCGGGAGGGGCCGTTCCCACCCGCACCGGGTCCCACCTGATTTCCAGATGTCCAGGTGGGCGTGCAGCACCTCCCCGCCCAGGGGCGAGCGCTGGCGAAACTGCTCCTCCGACATGGCGCACAGCTCCTTGCCTCCCAGCTCCTGGAAGGCCTTGCCTACTGGGGGCAGCCGGTACTGGTGCTCCGTCCACAGCAGCCACTTCTGCACGTTGCCAGGGCTCCAGTCCACGGGGTCTGGAGCAAGAGACACTCCCTCAGCCCCAGGGGCTGCTTGAGGTCACCGCCCTGAACATGGCTTGCTCTTCTGTGATGGGGCACCCGTGGGAACTAGTGGCCAGGGACCATGCACTCCTGGGGGGAGGCCATGCCAGGCCAGACAGAGCCTTGAGGGTCCCTGAGGAGGGGCGTACCCAGGAAGAGGGGGTGGTGAGAAGGAGGAGGCGGGGCCCTAACAACAAACTTGGCGCGGGGCAGGGTGGCCTGGGGCCTCTGCACTCCCTACCTCACCCAGACCTCGGGTCATGCCAGACCGTTGCAGCTTCTCCAAGGGACCTTTTGGGGAGCCCCACCCCTGAGGGGACAGTGACATTAAACCCGAAACACCTGAGCTTCTTTCCAAGCTACCTCTTGCCTTCTCCAAACCCCTCAAGGAACCAGAGAAAACCCCAACCAGGAATTAGCCCTACAACCCCCACCCCCAACCCCCACTGTATTTTACAGATGAGGAAACTGAGGCACAGAGGCTTCATCCTCTTGTCCAACACCGAACAAAGGGCTGGGTGCATAGTAGCTGCTCTGTGCACATGCGGTGAATGAATGAGGGCAGAGCACAGGGTGGTCACGGGGCAGCCACAGGCCTCAGAGGCCGGGAGGGGAGGCACTGGCTAGGTCTGAGATGTCTCCCTAGGGAGCTGCTCTGGGGTGAGCCTGGCAGGGCACATGGGTGGGGGCTGGGCTGCAGGCACAGTCACAATGGGACCTCCAAGAGAACTTCGTGGTCTAAGCTGCTGCCCCAGCTGGGTGACCTGCAGACTGGGTGACTTAAAGCCATTTTCCTCTCCAGGGTCAAAGCAATTTGTTTCTGTTCCCATTGTTCGGAGGGCAGGCCCCGCCCCGAGCCAGTGTGGGAGCCGAGGCGCCGTGGGAGAGCCTCCCTGGGGGGGCCTGGCAGGGGCATTGGGGCATGGGTAGGAGCCAGCTCAAGAGGACACCAGCTGGGACTGTTGGGGAGTAGGGGCTGGGCCCAGATGACTCCGGGGGGGAGGGGTTGGGCCTGAGGGATGCCTGAGACCCCTCCTGTGTGAAGGCAGGACAGAGAGGGGGATGTTCAAATGCCAGGACCCAAAGCACAGGAGGTGGGTCAGGCCTACCCAAAGCTGAAGAGATGATGGGGGAACAGGGACTATAGACCCAGCCACCCCTCGACCCACAGCACCATCTCCGTAACCACACCTTCCAGGCCCTGGAGACACGTGCCCAGTCTCCTGATGTCCCCTCCCTCATCACCACTGGACCAGCGACACATTTATCTATTTATGATCTGTTTCCCTCACTGTAGTGTCAGCGTCATGAACGAAGGGGCTTCTGTGCTGTGTTCACCACTCAATCCCCCGGTGCCAGAACAGGGCCTGGCATAGCAAAAAGCTCCTGTTTATTGAGCGTCTATTATGTGCCAGGCGCCAGCCTAGGAAGTGGGGATGTAGGGTGAACAAAACAAATGGAAACCCCTGCCCTTAGGGCATGTACATTCCAGTGAGGGAGACAGAGAGTAAACAAGATAAATAAAATACGCAGCGTATCAGATGGTCTGTGCTACGAGAGAAGGAAGGCAGAGCGGAGGAATAAGAGGCAGGGGTTTGGGAAGGCGTCATTGAGATGGTGCCATTTGAGTCAAGACCTGAAGGAGGTGAAGGGGGAGCCAGCTAGGCATTTGGGGGAGAGTATTCTAGGTTGAAGGACCAGCAGGTGCAAAGGTCCTGAGGTGTGAGTGTTGTGGAACAGCAAAGAGGCAGGTGTTGCTGGAGCACAGCGAATGAGGGGAGAGCAGAGATAAGTCTCAGAGGAGGTGGTGGGCCAGATGGCGGAGAGCTCGGATTCACTTCATCCAGCACCTACCAAGTGGGGACCCTGGGCTGCGGCCGTTGGGGCCCAGAGGGCTGGAGCTGTGCCAGCCCAGGCTCATGGCTGCTGTGTGCTGTGGGCTGACCGTAAGTGTGGAAGCACCGGCCTCTCTGGGGCTCCTGAGGCTGGGCTAGGGGCAGCCAGGGTGCGGCAGGCAGCGTCCCGGGCCCTGCGCGTGCCCGCCGCCACGGAGGGGCTCACCTGCGGTGATGTTGAGCAGCTTGCAGGCCGTCTCAATGTCCTTGAGCACCTCGCCCACCACCATGGACTGCACCTGCTCCAGCGAGTGCTCCTCCAGGGTCAGCCCGCCCGGCGCCAAGTCCAGGCCGCCCCCAGGGGCCTGGCTGTCGATGACCGGGCACTGCTCGGGCTCCTCAGGCGGCTCGTCCCGAGCGCTGGCCCCAGGGCCCTTGGCGGCCCAGCTGCCATCGTCGGGGTACAGCATGTCGAAGTAGGAGAGGTAGAAGGCGGACAGGCCCTGCTCGGGCGTGGCGGGGGGGCTGGGGCTCCAGTCTCGGCTCTCGGGCCCTGCTGCCCCCACGGCCACCTTCTCCAGGCCTGTCCGCAGCACAGCATCGGGGGCCAGCAGGAGGCGGCTGGGGGCCACGCTGCTCAGGCACGGGCTGGCGCTGCCCATGCCGCTGCTGCTCGGGCCGGCGGCCGCGGCTATAGAAATGAAAGAGGAAGGAGAGTCGGGTTCTGGCTGCGTCCCCGTCCCCGTGGGGGCCGCTAAGCTGGTTACGGGGATGAGGGGCCCAGTGGGCAGTGGCTGGGCCTGGGAGACAGTTGGGCCTTCCGGGTCACTGGGCAGCGAGGCCGGGGCTGGGCAGACAGGCCTTCTGGCCGGGAAAGAGATGGGAGTGGGGTGGGACTGTAAATGGGCAGCTCCCTCGCCCCCGGGGGAAGCCAGGTTGGCCGGGAGCTGTCAATCTTGACACACGTAGTGTGCTTCAAACAACCTTCTGGGGTTCTTGACCTCACACAGTCCTCACAGTGGAAGGCACGATCAGCCCCATTTGGCAGACGAGCAAACTGAGGCCTGGACAAGGAGCCTTTAAGGTGGAGGAAGTTCCTTCTGAGAGCTAATCTAAATCTTTCCTGCTGTAGCAAAGCTTATTTTCTTTTATTCTGCCCTTGAAGGGGGTTGGGAAGAGAAAAAGGCAGCACCATCTTCCCCAGCCAGGGGAAGGAAGAAAGGAGCAAGGGAGGGGCGTGGCATGGTAGAACCCCTTCACAAGCTGGGGAGGCGGGCCCTGGCCCCCTCCATTGGCCTCTGGGGGTGTGAATATTCCCAGAGTAACGCTGCTGAGGGAGTCACTGAGCAACAACTTGCAGGTGTGCTTGGCCTGCCCTGCTCAGGGCCGGGTTCCTGGTACCCGCCTGCCCTGGTCTCCCCTGAAAGGAGCAGCCCCAGGCCCCTCCCAGCTCTCAGAGCCCCGTCCTCTCCCCTCATGCCCTAGAGGAACGAGCAGCTGCCCAAAGCAGAGCCCAGGAGCCCACCTACAGCCCCGGCTTTGCTGGGGGCAGGAGGGTGGCGAGAAGGCCCAGGATCTAGGAACGACTGAGGCCTCAGCAGCCCAGACACCGTCTCCTCCCTGCCATTTGCCTCAACACCAGGCCCTGATGGCCTCCAGCTCCATCGGTCACCCAGGCTCTGCTTTGCCCGGCCCTTTGCTCTGAACCCCAGACTGGAGTAGGCGGTTTGGGAGAGGCAGCGACTTGAGAGACGTACAGACATCAAAATACCAGGGTTTCTGGGATATTTCTGTGATTCGTGGGCCTGATACTCAAAAATCAATCAGAACGGAGGTGGAGGATTAACAACAAATACATGCTGCCAATAACAGAGGAGAGCACTGAGAAAGGAGGGAGGGAGCCCATGCGCCCGCTCACGTGGGGCCCTCCCCGGGGGTGTTTGTACTGAAAGCAGTGGTTCTCAGCCATGGTGCCGGGCCAGAAGCACCAGCGGTGCGTGGATGGGGGTGGGTGGGGGCCCTGTGGGCGGTTCAGACGCTGGCTCGAGTTTGGGGGCCACTGCTCTAAGGGCATCTGGCAGGAAGCGGGAGAGACTTTCATCAAAGGACCCTCTAATGGTGGGACTGGCTATGCCACACTGGGACAGAGCAGGGCTCCCTGGCACAACTCCAGCCACCCGTGGGACTGGCCAGTTCAGCCTCAGTGTGCGGCAGCGTCTGTCCCTGCCGGTGGGACAGAGAAAGGACTGTTGGGAAGACACTTCCAGGCTCCCTAGGGCTGCAGCAGCCCATTCTGCACCTTCGTTCAACTCAGCAAACGACATCCTTTCCTTCTGGATAGGATGGCTTGGTAAATGGAACCCAGGTGGAATTTCAGCTCCCTTTTGTCCCCTCTCTTGTGCAGTGCCCAACCTTCCCAACTTTACATGGCAGCCCTGCAGTTGTCTGTGGCAGAGAGAATACCAGAAAGAGAGAACGGGGTTCCCTCTGATCTCAATTCTCCTTTTAAGGGCTCCTTTAAGTGACAAGGAAGGAACGGCCAGGGTGGGGTGGGGTGGACAGGGATGGAGGGGGAGCCAGTGTTGCGGGGGACAGAGGGCAGGCCTGGAATCATTTCAGGTCCTTCTGTGCAAACACACGTGTGTGCTGTGGGCCCACATTATTTACCCAGGCAGCACCAACAGCCCGCTCTGCCCCTGGGTCCCCACCCTGCCTGTGCCCGTGCCCCACCCTGGAGGTGGCCCCACTCCTGGAGACCCCCTCTCAACCCTCCCCCCCCGCCATCCCCCACTGCCTGCCTCCCGCCCCATCCACGTCCCCAGAACTCCCGTGCCTGCCACGTTAGGATAGTCTCTGCCAACACCCTGGGCCGTGTGCCAGGGAGACGGAAACTTTCCCAGCAGGAGGACTTGCCTCCCTCGTGGCCCTGCTGTTTGCTCAGCCTCAGCTACAGGTAGGATGGGAGGTAGCTGCTATGTTTCGGGGCACAATGGCCCGAGGGGTCAGCGAGGAGGAATGGGCAGGGCAGGTGGCAACGTCCGTCAGGCTGGGATGTGATGACACATCCCTGACATGTTTGTCAAGTGACCTTCATGGCCCTCACACCTGTCCCCTCCCCGGGCCTTATTCTCACTCCCATTCTGTGGATGGGGAGGTTTAGGTGCAGAGAACTAAGTGACCTGGATCCAGGTCTTCCAACTCCGGGCCCAGGGCCCCTTCACCAGCAGAGAATTCCCGCCTCCTCCACACCCCACATTCCAGCGCCCCAAGTCACCTTGCACCTAAATGCGAAGGAACCTGCTCTCAGCCCAGGCTCGCCCCCCCCCGCTCCCGGGTGAAAACTAAGTTAATGATTAACCGCACGGCGGGAGGAAAGATCCGACTGTCGGCGTGGGGAGTGGGTGAGGAATGCTCCGCCTCCAGCAGCCCCGGTCTAGAGGCACCTTGGTTTACTGGTCAGGGGCTGGTGGGCCCAGCCTGCAGCCCCGGCATCTCCTCCAGACCCTGGGGCTGGACCAGGGAGGGAAGAGAGACCTGCACAGTGAGCGCCTCCTATGTCCAGAGCGCTCATGCACGCTACCCCCTTTCCTACCCACAGCCTGGGTGATGTGGACTCGAGAGCCCGTTTCACAGATACAGACAGTGAGGCTCAGAGAGCTTATACAGCTTGCCCGAGGTCCCCAGTTAACCATGTGTGGGCTCTGTTCATCATACCATGTTCCCTCTGAGAATTCTGCTCTGGCCAGTCCCCTCTTTCCAGGGTCCTTCCTGCCTTCTGATTGACCAATTTGATCCTCCAAAAGTCCATTCCCACCTCCTGGCTGCTCACTCCACCCTACTGTCATGCTCATTTCCCTCCGACACACTTTCATCAGGCACCCCTGTGCTCAAGAACCTCCCATGGCTCCCCATTGCCTGCCCAGCCCAATCCCCTTGGCTGATGCCCACCTCTGAGCCTGCCTCCTACCCAGCCCAGATAATCAGAGCTGGAAAGGGCTATATATTATGTGATCGTTTTTTAGATAGGAACAACGAAGCCCAGAGTGGGGAAGGGAGTCATTCACTGGTTAGAGGCAGGGTCTGCACCAGAACCAGAGATCGATCAACATGGTGACCATATCCAGGCTCTAGTGAGAATAGCGTTTCTCCCCTGGTCCCTGTGCTATGAGCATGAGACGGCTATTTTCTCTTGTGTTCTTGTCCCTCTGCCTAAGATTCCCCTTCCTTCTCATCACAGTTCAGCCCAAAGCCCTCCTCCCCAAGGAAGCCCTCCCCAATAGCTCCCTCCTCTGACTTTCCAGCTCTCCCCATCTGTGCTATGCGATTCAGCCTCGATTACATTCATGGATGCTTGTCCATTCACAAGGACACACATGTGTTGGGAAAAACGAGGCTCAGAGAGTGGCAGGGATGTGCCCAGAGTCACACAGCAGAGCCAGGACCAGAGTAGAGGCCTGCTGACCCTCAGGTCACTGTTCCATAGGCCTAGGGTCCTGGGACAAGCCTGGTGTTTCCCACATCCACGTCCCTTGGAGGCAGGCCCAGCTCTCCCTACAGTCTCTGCCGGCTGGGGCCCAGGGGCTGCCGGTCTCCTGAGCAATGCCTCCAGCTCCCAAACCTCGAGCTGATCTGCTCTGGATTAAGCCACGTGTCTGGATTAAGGCTCAGCGTGTCCTGGCTCCCTTCTGCCCCAGAGGCTCTGGCTCCGAGTCTAGACAAAGAAAGTTTGGTAACAGCTGGTGGAGGCCAAGGCCCAGACACAGGACCAGAGGGTGTGGCAGTGGCCAGAGGGATTAGCCACCTGGGGCCCCTCCTCTCAGCACCTCCGTTCCCCCAGGAGGGCAGATGAGGAGAGAGGGTGCATTTACAGCAGCTGTTTCCTGCCGCTGCCTGGCCTGTTCTCACCCCTCGGGCCAGGAATGCGCCCCTGAAACTCCCCTGTCTTCCGATGGGTTCTCACTCCCACTCCTACTGGCACCAGCAAAAGATGCCCTGATGCCACCTGAAACCACAGCCTCAGGGAAGCAGAGTTCCCAGGGAGGTCTTTGCTAAGGCCCTGGGCTGTCATGGGATTGGAGCCTGCCTCCCACATCCTGCTCAGTCCAGGCCCTCAGGTCTGACCCCTGGGGGATTGTGAGTGGGATAAATATGCCTGAGCCCCACCTCCACCCTGAGACTCAGCCTCAGCCTGCCCAGAGCCCAGCACCCCGGCCGCAGACCCAGTGAGCAAAGCACCAAGGGAGAGTGGGTGGGGCAGGGGGTGACAGCCCATCCCTCAGCCCTGAGCTGGCCTCGCTCAGCCAGATGGAGCAGACCTCCTCCAGTTTCCCCAGGGGGGCCCACTGTCCTGCTGTCAGCCCCTCCCTCCCTCCCCCCAGGCACCTCCTTTAATGAGTCAGAGTCAGGGGGATGTGGCGGTGCCCTAACTAGGACCTGGCCAGGAGCCACACAGAGTGGGCAGGGGCCACATGGACCTGGCCCCCAGACCGCTGGTCAGCACCTTGGAGAGAAGCCGGGCCGGCCCAGGCCGCAGGGAGGCCCCGCTGGAGCCTGTGATCTGCTGTGTCTGGCTTTCTGAACCCTCCCTGCCTCTGGCCAGCCTCCCCTCCTCCAGACATTCCCTTCTCAGCCTCCTCTCCCCCTCTCACTCCCTCACTTCTCCTTGGACAGCTCCGGCCCCCCGATGGAACCCCAGCTCCCTTGACCTCAGAAACTGCTCTTCAAACTGGCTGGACCCAGGAAAAGCTCCCAGCTCCTCCTTACTGACCGCCTTTCACTGCCCCGAGTGCTGGCCTCTCCTCACTGGATAGACCACCCTCTTACCCAGGAAGAGGTCCCAGGCTGGCCGCCTCCAGGCAGCTCTGGCCGTCTCTCAAGCACCCCATTGTGGCCATCCCCAAGCACCCGGGGTCCCGAAGGGCAGAGAGAAGGGAGGTGGGTCCTGGTTGGTGGCGGATGGAGGTCTTGCCTGTCTTGGGCTCAGCTTAAGAGTAGGGGAGGTAGGTTTCTTCTAGATCCCGGGGTTTCCCCACCTCCTCAGATCCCAGACCCGCCCAGGCCACTGCCCTAGCTCACTGAGGAGCCCTGCTCTCTGGGAGGCTCACTGAGGAGCCGGCTAGTGGGCCCAGGAGCCGGTGTGCGGGGAGACTCGGGGCACGGGGTGAGGCTAGTGAGGCTACCGAGGGATCAGAGGGTGGGGAGGGAGTTGGGGGCAGGGCCAGGGAGCAGGAGCACAGGGCACAGGAGACGAAAGGGTCGGGGGAGCATCCAGGAAGTCTGGTTTAGTCTGCTTCGCCCACAGTTCCCACGGGCAGCCAGAGCCCGAAGGCACCTTTGTTCCAGGTGTGTCTCCCATTCTCTCCCGCTGCCTGGGTACCGCTGGTGCCCACAAGGCCTCACTGACATTGCTTCCAACCCTTTCTTGGACAAGGCAAAGGCCAACTAAATAAACAGCTCCTTTGGGCTCACCCAGCCCCCAGGCCTGCCAGTATTACTCTCACCTGACAGATGCAGTGCTGGTGACCGAGCAGGGACTGGAACTCAATACTGAGCTCCACCCTCCTCTCAGATGGTACTAGGGTCACCCCTGCTGATCATCGCTTTCACCTCTGCTCTGGCCGTCCGCTGACCCAGCCCCTGAAAATCCGAGCCCCAGAGAGGTCGCATGGGTGGGCTCAGGTGGCATGAGCCTCAGCCCTAAGCTCATCCCTATCTTTGAGTTTGCTCGAAAAGGGGTGTGCGGCCTGGAAAGAACTTGAGGCCTCAGCATCTGGAGATGTGAGTTCGTGTCCTGCCCCGTTCCCACCATATGTGAGGCCCTGGGCAGCCCCTAGTCCCCTCCCGGCCTCAGCCTCCTCATCTGTTCTCTTAGGGGGTGAGTTACCTCCCAGGGCTTTTCTGGCCCAGACACTGTCTGGATTCTATGACCCTCATGACCCCCATCTTGCCCCTCAGCCTGACTTGGGCGGACGACGGAGGAGAAACAGAGGTGGGCACAGGGGGCTGCCCTTGCAGGCAGAGACATGATTCAGGGGTGGCATTTTAGGCAGAATAAGGGGCGTGGCTACATCTCCCTCTGCCCCGCTCCTCTGGAGTCGGTGCCAGAGCCTCTGAAAGACTTGGTCCACCCTTCTGACCAAGCAGGGCCACCCGCCAGGCCGCCCCTCACCTCCCAAGTGGCCTGTCAGGCCTGGTTCCCGCCCCAGCAGCATCTCCTCCCCGCTTCCTCTAGTCGGACAAGCTGGGGGCTTGGCGTGAGCAATGCTGAGGCTGTCAGGCCAGAACCCCGATTTCCAGCCACAGCAAGTACAAATCCTGCCTGACTTTCAGGGCTTTCCAGAAACTGTGGACCACTTCTTCCTTCAGCCCTTGTTGAGCACGTACTGTGTGTAAATACAGCTCACGTCTCAGCACCCCAGGCCAGCACCACTGCCCTGCCTGGGCCGCCACACCCCCGCCGTCTGTGTGTGCCCCCTCCCATCACGAGCGCAGTCTCCCCCGGCCCCACAAGCCCTCTTTGCAGGGGCTGGGCCACGGCACCTTCCCTCTTCCCTGCACGCCTCCAGCACCTCGTGTACACCACCCTCCCAGCTGTTGAAACGGCAACGGGACTTCGAGGTTTCATGGGCATCTCCTTTCCCACACTCCAGTCCCAGCAAGGCTGCCCGGTCCCTGAAGGTGTGCGAACCCGCGCATTTCACCTGGCTCTGCCTGGGCACCCTGGTCCATCCTCTGGGCCTTAGTATCCTTGTTGGTGAAATGAGGACTCATGAGGATAATCGTGTCTCTGGGGTTTGGCGCGACAAGGCAGGACGGTGATGCGAGAAGACCTGACACTCCCCCAAGAGCTGTGTGTGTCCACGTCAGGTACTCTCGTCTCTGTTCTCCGTGTCTCTGCAGCCTCCTCCAGCCCAGAACGGCTGGATGGAAAGGCATAAACTCCTGCTGTTGAATCTGTAAAATCTTGGCAGGGCTGACAGAGAAAATGTGCCTTAAGCCCCAAGCCTTGGGCCAGGGAGCCCACCTTGCGCTTGGAGACAGGGTTTTAGGACCAAGTGAAGGCATCCCGACATTACAGAAAATGAGAAAGTCCAGAACGAACCGTCCTCAGCCCTTCTGTCCTGGAACTCTGGGGTGCGGGGGTGGGGGGAGGTTGTGGAAACTGGAGACACGAAGAGCTGGATCCCAGTGGCCCTCAGGCCAGCTTGCTGCCCTAAGAGCAGAGGGACCTGGGCCCCGCCCCTGTCACCAGTCGCAGGTGCTGGGACTGTAGCCTGGGCAGTTACCCCGAGGCCTCTCTCCTGGATCCAGAGCTGGAGGGAGCGGGAAGGGCACCTCAGTTCTGGCGGTGCCACAGAGACCTCATGGCCCCTTTCTCCGGTCCCGGGTGGGCTCTGTCCATCTGGCCCCAGCAGAGTTACAGTCGTGTCCCCGGCTGGGAGCAGTGGTCTGGAGGTAGGAAGAGGTCCACCCTCCCCTAGTCTGGAGGCCCCACCCAGCTGCCAAGAGGTGGGAGAGGAGAATCTGGCAGGGGGCACCTTCTGGGCTGGGAACATGCAAATGAGGCAGGGGAAGGAGCGGGCATTAAATGTCAGGAAGAGCCCAGGGCGACTGGCCTCGTGCAAAGTTTGCTTTGGGAAGAGTTGTTCCACCTGACAGGCCACTCGCTTGGCTGGGGGCACAGGGCGGGCCCTGGAGTGAGGTGGGGGTGGGGACGGGGGCGGGGAGGGTCTCAGGCGGAGTCTGAGTGCAGACTTCCTGCTCTGGGAAGGGGGCAAGAGACTCAGTTGTCCGGTCTGTTCAACAGGCTGTCCAGAGCACGTCTTAAAGGGGTTGTGCAGATTGAGGGAGAGGCTGGATGGAAATTCCTTGTGAGTTACGATGGGCTGAGCATGCATGAACGTGGCCCTTGGGAGCAGGAGAGAGGATGTCAGTGGGGAAGAGGGGAGGGAAAGGCAATGGGGTGAGGGATGAGGGGCACAAAGGAAGAAGCAGGTGCCAACGGGGCGTGGAGGGGCCGAGGGGTGGAGCCTGGGGGATTGTTGAGGATGATGGTGAGGGAGCCCTGCGCCTTGCCCTGAGGTCATTCTGCTCCAAGCCCAGTCTAGGGCAGCTGCTGGCCTCACCCCCACCTCCCGCCTCTAGAAGGAGCCAGAGCCAGAGCCTCCCACCTCCCCTGACCTCAGCCTAGGAGAGCAGACTGGGAAAGCACACAAATCTTGCAAAGCCGGCAAATCCAGCTGGTCAGCCTGCCTTCACCAACTCCTACACAGCCTTCAAAACCTGGCTCCAGGTTCTCTTCCATGAAGCCTTTTTTTTTTTTTTTTTTTGGTGAGGAAGATTGGATCTGAGTTAACATCTGTTGCCAATCTTCCTCTACTTTATGTGGGATGCCACCACAGCATGGCTTGATGAGTGGTGCTAGGTCCATGCCAGGGATCTGAACCCAAGAAGCCTGAGCTGCCGAAGTGGAGCACACAAACTTAACCACTACGCCACTGGGCCAGCCTAGTGAAGGCTCTTTTAGCAGACAAGGCCACCTTGTCTAACCTTCTCATTGCAAGTGCGGGGAGGAAAAGTGACTTATCCAAGGCCACACAGTGGGCCTTAACCGATCCCTTCTTGGCCTCCACCTAGAACGTCTTTGTCCCCAGGTCAACCTGAACTGACTTTCCCAGGTTACACTCAAGTCATTTCACACAAAACTGTGCTCTATTGTTTCCGGGCTATTAACTTTTTATCTGCAATGACCTCAGTGGTGAAAAGTGGATTCTCCTGGTTCTTCTAATTCCCGCCAGCAGCACAGTTTCTGAGCATCAATGAGCATCTACTGCGAGCTATTTCCCCAGGCTTGGCTGAGAAGCTTTCCCTAATTCAGAGGGTTCTTGTGAAAATCAGATGGCATCGCATCTGCCGAAGTGTTTTGTAATTGGTAACACACAGTAAACAAGTCCAGGAGGGACGGAGTTTTCAGCTCTGGGTCCCCCCACAGTGCCTGGGGCAGAGGAAACGCTTGTCCATTCATTGTCAGGCTCTCAAAGGGGAGGGTGGTCTCCTACCCAGAGAGAGACCACCTCCTCCATACCCGACCTCCCTGGGAACACTGAGGACGCTCCCTCTCCCCAAATTTCCGTGAGTTTGGGATCATGAGGCTCCAAGATGGGAGTCCCTGGTTCTGGCCCTCCCCGAGGTGGGCAGAGGGCAGGCAGGACTGGCCTGGCTAGGGGGACGTCCCCTGCCCCTCCCTCCCGCCACCTCGAGCCTGGGGCGGCCCCGATCCCTGTTTGCTTTGTCACTCAGCTGAGCAGCTGGTGCTGGGGAGATGCTGCTTTATTGGGGGTGCTGTGAAGCTGTTTACTCGGGAGGTGGGGGCGGAAGACGAGGCCAAGTCCCAGCCCTGGCCCAGCTCGGGGAGAAAGGCCGTGACCGTCACACAGTGGCCAGGGCGCTGGAGCCTGGTGGCCTGGGTGTGGGCTGCTGGGTGGGCCCAGCTGGCAGGGTGAGTGCGGGAACCGGGGCTAGCTCAGTGGGCCTGTCCACTCCCCAACCACACGCCCCCCCCCCCACCTCGTCCAGCCTCAGGGGAGCCCCCAGCTCTCCAGGCCCTTCAGCTTTCCACCCTGTCATCTTCCAGGACCCCCGTTTCTTTCCAATGTGCCCAGACCGGGGCCCATAGGCCCTCTGCTTCCTCGGGTACCCAAGCACCCAGGCGGTTTGCTCTGCAGCTCCCCAGACCACCTGGTTCCTGTGCCCACCACTGCCCCGCCCAGCCCCCGGGCTCTGGGCCTGTCCCCTCTGCTCCAACCTGGACCCCAGCCCTGAGCCTCCAGGCTCCAGCAAGCCCCTGCCCACCGTGGCCTCGCCCCGTGGAGCCCCTTCCCCTGGCAGAGCAGCCGCGGCTGGCAGCAGCAGAGAGGCTGCTTGTGTTTTGCTGGCCAAGCTGAACCGGCTGGTCCCAGGGGCTGAGGCTCTGCATCTGCTGCACTGCCTTCCCTCCAGCCTTCCCCGCCTTACCGCAGCCCCCCATAAACCCCCGCCGCTGGGCTCAGTGTGGTTGGGGGCCGTGACGGCACGGGGCGCTGCAGGCCTCCCTGGGCCAGGAGGCTCATCCAGAGTCTGGGGTCAGCCCAGGCAGCGCACGGAGGGATCAGCGGCTTCTGAGGGCGCAGGACTCAGATCACAGGCGCTGCAGGATCAGCTGTGAGCTTGCGAAGCCCGCCTTGGAATCCCGCCCTCGGTCACCCACGGCCCCCCAGCTGGCAGAGGAAAGGCCCCACGGCAGGGCACCCTGTGCCCCCCGCCAGACTCACCTGTGAGCTGCCTGGTGCCCAAGGAGTTGTCTGCTGCAGCACCAACCCTGGGGGCCAGGAGGAGGCGTGGGCGGTTGGGGCCACTGCTGGGTTTCAGCCAGGCATGTGGGGAGCCGGTGGGACCAGGGGCCAGAAGGGCGGGGGGCAGAGGTGGCACTCGGGGCGGCCGCCGGGGGCCTGGCCACCCTCGAGGGGTAGCCCTCTTAGGTCTCAGGGCTGCGTGGCCTGAGGGAGCCCCCGGCCCCCAGCCCAGGGCCACCTGCTGGCACTGTGGCAAGACCCAGTCGCAGGGGCTTCGGGGGGGGGCCACGGTGGGCTCAGGGCACCGGGTCTGTGGGGCTGTGTGGACGCAGGCGGAGTGCAGGAATGTGCTGGGAGGAAGTCAGGGAGACTGAGAGGAAGAGTTGGCCTGGGCCTGATTTCCCATTATAAGTAATCCTTCCTTATTTACCTGAACAAATACGCTCCCTGCTTACCTCAGACCACAGGCGGGCTCCCGGTTAACCCTTGCAGGCCTTCCCCTCCTCGCTGGGGGCCCTATACCCTGGCAGCCAGGGAACTCACTCACTCACTCATTCACTCATTCACTCATTCCCTCACTCACTCACTCTCTCACCCATTAGTTGATGCATAGCTACTGAGCTCCTATTATGTGCGGGGCACAGGGAACATATCCACAGGGACCTGGGCCAGGGCACTAAGAGGGGTCAGCTGAGTGCAGGGAACAGACAAGCAAACAGCAGTGGAAATTCAGTCACCCAGGCCCCAGTGGAGGGCTACAGGAGCACTGAGGCAGGGGAAGTCAGAGAGGGCTTCCCGGAGGAAGGGCTGTCTGGCTCCCTGGGCTAGGGGTGGAGGGAACCCTGGGGAAAGAGACCTGAGGCTCATGCGCCCACCCACAACACATGGGAGCAGTGCTGTCTGTGCCCCTCAGGCCCGGCGCAGGCCCGTCACACAGTGGTGCTCAGGAAGGACTGGCGCTTGCTTTCCCAGGCCCAGAGCGGGGGTCGGCCAGCAGTGGCTTGCTCTTCACAGTCCCTGAGGGTGGAGGCAAAGAGGGGAGGCCACCCCCAGGCACCCAGTGCCCCCGCCCCTCCACCTCCACGAGTCCAAGGAGGGCCACGCGGACCAGCCCTGAGCTGCCTCCTCATCTGGCCGCGTGGGTGGAGGGATGTCCCTGGGGGCAGGGGCTGGCTCCTCCTTTCCCCGGATCACCTTGAAGGGCACCGAGCACCTGCCCCCGCCGTTCTGTCAGATGAGGGCATTGTAGATAATGCGTGTTGTTATTTCCTAATTTCAGTAGGAACTGTGTGAGCGCCCACGGCGTGAGCATTCCACGGCCGCAGGGAGATGCCAAGGCCTCAGCACTAGCTCCCCGTCACTGATGCCCAAACTGCCTGACATGTGGTTGCACTGTCCCACTTCTCCCCCTGCAGAGCCCTGTGCTTTGCTGTTGTCACGGGCCCCTTGGTGAGGATGGGTTATCAGAGTCGTTCCCCTGAGGCTGAGGGAGGATGGGACGGAAGTCGGGGAGGTAACACAAAGTCCTAAAGTGGCTACAGCCCCCCATCCCAGCCCTCCAGGGTCAAGAAAGAGAAAGACCCCCATGCGCCCGGGCGGGACGTCCTCCAGGATGCCTTTCTATCCCCTCTCCCCTGCCGGGCAGGCAGCCCTCCTCCCCACGCTCGGGAAGCTGCTGCTTGTAGCTGATGCGGCAATAATAACGGCCGCTGCTCAGTGAGCAGCTACTGTATGCCAGGCACTACTCAGCGCTCATGAGGTGCCAGGGCATTATTCAGAGTATAAGTACTACAACACGAGTAAGTACAAGGAGTACCCAACAAATGCTTATGGAATGGAAGGGGTGTCAGACATAGTTACCCCCAACGTCCATTCCCCCTTTTCCTCAGTAAACAATCCCTTAATTTTTTTGTTTTTGTTTTTGAGGAAGATTGGCCCTGGGCTAACATCTGCCACCAATCCTCCTCTTTTTGCTGAGGAAGAATGGCCCTGAGCTAACATCTGTGCCCATCTTCCTCTATTTTATATGTGGGACACCTGCCACAGCATAGCTTGGCAAGCGGTGCCATGTCCGCACCCAGGATCCGAACCTGAGAACCCAGGGTCGCCAAAGCAGAATGTGTGAACTTAACCACTGCACCACTGGGCCGGTCCCAACAACCCCCTAATTTTTAGCTGGGAACTTGGCTACCTGGAATTAAGGCTATTCCAGACCCCCTTGCAGCTAGATGTGACTATGTGATCAAGTAGGAGTGTCATGTGTCAATTTCCAGGAATCTTTCTTAAAAGGAAACTGGAATGTACCATTTGCCCCCTTCTTCATCTTTCCTCC